GCCCCCCCCCCCCCGTTCCTACTAGTTCTAGCAAAAGCCTCAGGGCTAATTCTCATTGATCAGGAATGGGTCCCCACACCCTCATCCCTGAACCAGTCCTTGTGGTCAGGGCATCAAATGATCTAATTGGCCAGACTGGATCAGGCTCACTCTGAACCATTAAGGATTCAATAGGGATTTCCCACAAGAAAACGGGTGGGCCCTAGCTGGTTTAGCTCGATGGATAGAGCATGCCTGGGTTGTGGGCTCGATCCCCAGTGGGGGGCCTGGGGAAGGCAGCCGCAGCCAATCATGGATTCTCTAGGTAAAAGACAACATGAGGTTATGGGCGCCGACTCCTGCGCAGCAGGAAATCTGTAATATTTACAACTTGGCACCAACCCCACGGCTCCTCCAGGATGCCTTTGGCCCCGGGCCCTACCTCCTTGTGGTTATGATTCCAGCGAAGTGCCACCTCTGGGACTTGTTGACACTGGAAGTCGGCTCCCCAGGCATGGGACCCACCTAGTCCTTTGTCAACAAAACCGCAGTGCTCAGCCTTACGCGGGCTACTGGGGTGGGGGGAGGTGAAACTCCAGCTTGCACCCCAGGGGTTTGCCTCCTGGGCTCACCTGTGGCCATAAAGAACGGCATGGAGAGCTGAGCCTGGAGGAGAGCGGGTTAGCAGGGGCCTCCCAGGAAGAAATCTCCTGGAGACTGAGTTATTTTGCTCAAGGGAGAAATGGGGGCCCGGAGTTTTACAAAGCAAGTTAGTAGCAAAGTGGCCGATAAAACTCAGAGATCCTGTGGTAGGCAGACGTGAGCAGGAGCAGGGCAAGGCCAGATACAGAAGGTCACCAGGGCGGAGAGCCCCAGGCGCCCGCCCGGCAGGGGAAACAAGGACCTCGCCTGCCCCCAGGGTAACCTTGCCTCCCCTTCCATATCACTGGTCATTTGGTTTGGACCCCCTGACTTTCCTCCCTGTTGTAGTAAAATATAGAAATGTTTTTAAGAGTTTAAAAATGTCTAAAAGATGTTAAAAAGATTTTAAAATGTTTGAGTTAACTTTCCTGAAACTTAAAGTGTGGTATTAAGGACACATATACCACTGCCCTGAAGCTTGTGTACCCCATAGATGAGGATTTGAACTTCAATTACTGACTCAGAGTGACTTGCTAAGATAATCATATGTGTGAGTGATGTATTCTCCCTAGATAACCACAGGTAGCCCCTCGCCCTGTTTAAGGTTAACATGTGTGCATTGATGTAATTCATTGATAGCCACCTGAACTGCTGCGGGTACCAAACAGGCTTTAAAAATGGATCCTACCCTAACTGGTTTGGCTCAGTGGATGGAGCATCGGCCTGCGGACTCAAGGGTCCCAGGTTCAATTCCGGCCAAGGGCATGTACCTTGGTTGCGGGCACATCCCCAGTGGGGAGTGTGCAGGAGGCAGCTGATCGATGTTTCTAACTCTCTATCCCTCTCCTTTCCTCTCTGTAAAAAATCAATAAAAATAAAAAAATGGATCCTGACCAGCCAACAGTGCTCGCCTATCAAGACTGCCACAAAGGCACGTCCTTTTGCTAGTCCAGCAAGCGACACCGCTCCACGCTCCTCTCTCTGACAGATGACAGAAAAATGGCTAGTACCTCCCAATCAAGATGTGACCGAGCTCTCAGGTGAGGAACACCGGCCCCCTGCATCCAGACAGGACCAGCCCAGCTACCGGACCCCAGAGGACAGCACCACTGGGATCCCGTTAAGCCTGTACCCACAGCATTAGGAACTTCTGTGAGTAATACAGTGCTGTGTGATTTGCAATTGCATATGTTTCATGTGGTGTAATTCCTCCGGCAGTTAATTGAATTATTTTGTGTATGCTTAAAACTGAAATTAAAGTTTCTGGTCTTTTTGGCCCTTGGTCCTGCTTGCATAGAGCACCCTCTTTGCTAGCAACTACTTGAATGTCCCAACACCTGCACGGTTAAAGTTTATTTCAAGGGGGACACCTTAGATACCCCCCCACCCCAGATCCTTTCCCGGGATCTACTTGGGACTCTCCCTAAAGACAACATCTAGGCCTCAGTTGTATTTCAGCTCCAGGCTCAGACAAGAAGCAACACCAGACAAGCGAAGGCTGCCTCAGGACGGGCTGCATTGACTAATGACCCCCTACCCTGGCACCCACCCAGCAGGGGAGACCAGGACCCGGGAGAGCACACCTGGAAAACTGATGCATATTCTGCTGACACCCTTCTGAGACCTATCCCAAGATTCCCACCTGCAAGGGAGAAATAAAAACTCCCAAGACAAAAGCTCCAGCAGTTTCTCTCCCTCTGGAGCTTACA